TCAAAATCGAATTGAAATGCCATATATTTTGGTTGCCGAGTTAATTGATGAGGAAAAAAGCGATGATGTTGATATTGGGAAATTACGAAATAGTGAGAATAGAAGATTTTTTTTCAAGGAAAAATAAGGCGGAAGCTCCATCAAGGCGTGGATTTATAAAATATTTTTTTCGGAAGCTCCATCAAGGCGTGGATTTATAAAATATTTTTTTCGGAAGCTCCATCAAGGCGTGGATTTATAAAATATTTTTTTCGGAAGCTCCATCAAGGCGTGGATTTAGAAAATATTTTTTTCGGAAGCTCCATCAAGGCGTGGATTTAGAAAATATTTTTTTCGGAAGCTCCATCAAGGCGTGGATTTAGAAAATATTTTTTTCGGAAGCTCCATCAAGGCGTGGATTTAGAAAATATTTTTTTCGGAAGCTCCATCAAGGCGTGGATTTATAAAATATTTTTTTCGGAAGCTCCATCAAGGCGTGGATTTATAAAATATTTTTTTCGGAAGCTCCATCAAGGCGTGGATTTATAAAATATTTTTTTTGGAAGCTCCATCAAGGCGTGGATTTATAAAATATTTTTTTCGGAAGCTCCATCAAGGCGTGGATCTATAAAATATTTTTTTCGGAAGCTCCATCAAGGCGTGGATTTATAAAATATTTTTTTCGGAAGCTCCATCAAGGCGTGGATTTATAAAATATTTTTTTCGGAAGCTCCATCAAGGCGTGGATTTATAAAATATTTTTTTCGGAAGCTCCATCAAGGCGTGGATTTATAAAATATTTTTTTCGGAAGCTCCATCAAGGCGTGGATTTATAAAATATTTTTTTCGGAAGCTCCATCAAGGCGTGGATTTATAAAATATTTTTTTCGGAAGCTCCATCAAGGCGTGGATTTATAAAATATTTTTTTCGGAAGCTCCATCAAGGCGTGGATTTATAAAATATTTTTTTCGGAAGCTCCATCAAGGCGTGGATTTATAAAATATTTTTTTCGGAAGCTCCATCAAGGCGTGGATTTATAAAATATTTTTTTCGGAAGCTCCATCAAGGCGTGGATTTATAAATATTTTTTTCGGAAGCTCCATCAAGGCGTGGATTTATAAAATATTTTTTTCGGAAGCTCCATCAAGGCGTGGATTTATAAAATATTTTTTCGGAAGCTCCATCAAGGCGTGGATTTATAAAATATTTTTTTCGGAAGCTCCATCAAGGCGTGGATTTATAAAATATTTTTTTCGGAAGCTCCATCAAGGCGTGGATTTATAAAATATTTTTTTCGGAAGCTCCATCAAGGCGTGGATTTATAAAATATTTTTTTCGGAAGCTCCATCAAGGCGTGGATTTATAAAATATTTTTTTCGGAAGCTCCATCAAGGCGTGGATTTATAAAATATTTTTTTCGGAAGCTCCATCAAGGCGTGGATTTATAAAATATTTTTTTCGGAAGCTCCATCAAGGCGTGGATTTATAAAATATTTTTTTCGGAAGCTCCATCAAGGCGTGGATTTATAAAATATTTTTTTCGGAAGCTCCATCAAGGCGTGGATTTATAAAATATTTTTTTCGAAGCATCAACAAGGCGTGGATTTATAATATATATTTTTCGGAAGCATCAACAAGGCGTGGATTTATAAAATATTTTTTTCGGAAGCATCAACAAGACGTGGATTTATAAAATATTTTTTTCGGAGCATCAACAAGGCGTGGATTTATAAAATATTTTTTTCGAAGCATCAACAAGGCGTGGATTTATAATATATATTTTTCGGAAGCATCAACAAGGCGTGGATTTATAAAATATTTTTTTCGGAAGCATCAACAAGGCGTGGATTTATAAAATATTTTTTTCGGAAGCTCCATCAAGGCATGGATTTATAAAATATTTTTTTCGGAAGCATCAACAAGGCGTGGATTTATAAAATATTTTTTTCGGAAGCTCCATCAAGGCGTGGATTTATAAAATATTTTTTTCGGAAGCTCCATCAAGGCGTGGATTTATAAAATATTTTTTTCGGAAGCTCCATCAAGGCGTGGATTTATAAAATATTTTTTTCGGAAGCTCCATCAAGGCGTGGATTTATAAAATATTTTTTTCGGAAGCTCCATCAAGGCGTGGATTTATAAAATATTTTTTTCGGAAGCTCCATCAAGGCGTGGATTTATAAAATATTTTTTTCGGAAGCTCCATCAAGGCGTGGATTTATAAAATATTTTTTTCGGAAGCTCCATCAAGGCGTGGATTTATAAAATATTTTTTTCGGAAGCTCCATCAAGGCGTGGATTTATAAAATATTTTTTTCGGAAGCTCCATCAAGGCGTGGATTTATAAAATATTTTTTTCGGAAGCTCCATCAAGGCGTGGATTTATAAAATATTTTTTTCGGAAGCTCCATCAAGGCGTGGATTTATAAAATATTTTTTTCGGAAGCTCCATCAAGGCGTTGATTTAGAAAATATTTTTTCTCAACAATCCACAAGGCGTGGATTTAGAAAATATTTTTTTCTCAACAATCCACAAGGCGTTGATTTAGAAAATATTTTTTTTCACAAGAATCCACAAGTCGTGGATTTAGAAAATATTTTTTTTCTCAACAATCCACAAGGCGTGGATTTAGAAAATATTTTTTTTCTCAACAATCCACAAGGCGTGGATTTAGAAAATATTTTTTTCTCAACAATCCATCAAGGCGTGGATTTATAAAATATTTTTTTCGGAAGCTCCATCAAGGCGTGGATTTATAAAATATTTTTTTCGGAAGCTCCATCAAGGCGTGGATTTATAAAATATTTTTTTCGGAAGCTCCATCAAGGCGTGGATTTATAAAATATTTTTTTCGGAAGCTCCATCAAGTCGTGGATTTATAAAATATTTTTTCTCAAGTATCCACAAGGCGTGGATTTAGAAAATATTTTTTTCGGAAGCTCCATCAAGGCGTGGATTTATAAAATATTTTTTTCGGAAGCTCCATCAAGGCGTGGATTTATAAAATATTTTTTTCGGAAGCTCCATCAAGGCGTGGATTTATAAAATATTTTTTTCGGAAGCTCCATCAAGTCGTGGATTTATAAAATATTTTTTCTCAAGTATCCACAAGGCGTGGATTTAGAAAATATTTTTTTTCGGAAGCTTTACAAGGCTTGGATTTAAAATATATTTTTTTTTTTTTAATTTTTCCGAATCTGCATTGTTCTTCCTAAATTCTATTTACATATTCGAATTGGGTTTTCACGGAAAGTAATTTTGAATAACTTACAAAAATAGTGGCTGAACAATGCAACGTCTGGCCCCATTGTTATGTCAGGGACTTCTTCTCGGCCAGTGTGTTAATGTGAACATTTTTGATTGACTCGTATTCATCACATTAGGTATTCCAGAAAACTGGTTCGATTCAATACTCCACTAATTTTGGTTAATATATTTTTCTGTAAAGTGCTGTTATTAGTATTGGTGTTGTTGTCTTTGCCGTTGTTGTTGTGCGGATAACAATAATAATGATGATGATAATGTTGATGATGGTGGTGGTATTGGCCGTATAACTTTGGCGTTATCCACTGCCGTTGCTGCTGCAATGTTTGCTGCACCACCCCTTTTTGTAGCTTTGTTTTGTTGTTAGTTGTTTGTTTCATTGTTTGATTATAGCCAAGCTACTTGATTCCATTTGTTGTTGTTGTTTCTGTTTTGATTTTCTTCAAATTCATCGCGTTGCAGTATAAAAGTTAGTACCTCCAGCTCAGTGGGTATCAGTAAATCGTTTACTGTGCAGCTATACACAACATAGCAGAGTAGCACAGCGTTTCCAGCAAGTGTCTATTTTTTAAGAAACGAGTGCGTTTCCTTAATATTTTGCGTGTGACTCGAACGGCATAAAGTAAATATAATTAATTAATTAAATCAAAAAAAAAAAAAAACAATAAAAGAAAGCAGAAAAATAATTTTTCAAAAAAAAAAAATAAAAACAATCAATCCAACAAAAATATTGAACAATTGAAACCGAAAAAATCATAAAAAACATTCAACGAAAACGAAAAGAAAGTTTGTTTCCTAAGTCTTTTGTTTTTTGCTCACACAATATTCTCTCTTCTCTTCCTACTTTCTTTCATGTGTGTTGTGTGCGTGTGTCCATTGCTCCATTGCAGCAGTACTGTGTACAAATAAAGGATTACATTTCCTGAGGATATAAAGGCGTGAATTTTTCTTGATCGCGATACCAGCAACAACACAACGCAAGGATTAATCATGAAATTAATGGTGAGTAGAGGAAGGAGATGGAAAAAATCCACGAAAGTGATAAGACCTAAAACACAAAAAAAAACTACGAGCATGAAATCTCATAGTTCCACATATAAGCAAAGAGCTTTCTAGGTCCTTAAATATAACCTCCAGAAAGCCACGACTCATATAGACCGAGAAACTGGATCCTTAGGACCTTAAATATAATCCACAAAAGTATTAGACATTGTAAGAAAGAAAAAAGAGTCTTAAAAACAACCACAAGCCTCATAGCCCTTCAAAAATATTCCTTAAAAAATCCACGAAAGTAATAGGCCCGGAAACGCAATAAACCTACAAGCCTTATAGGTCCTCAAACATAATTCATTATAGGTCCTCACAAATATATCCTACCAACGCAAGATCTTCCGGGGTCCTTAAAAAGAGTTTTAAAAATAACCAAAAGCCACATAGGCCTTAAGAAATTTTCTTTCAAAAAATTTTAAAATTTGATAGGAATATTCAAAAAATCCAAGAGCAGCATAGGTCTTGAAAAAATTTCTTTAAAAGAATCCACGAAACTTATAGGTCCTGAAACGCATTAAACCTACGAGCCTTATACGTCCTTTAACATAATTCCTTATAGGTCCTGAAAAATGTATCAAAGTTCTTTAAAAAGATTACTAAAAAACTAAAAGACTCATAGGCCTTCAAAAATGTTCCTTCAAAAAATCCACGAAAGTAATAGGCCTACGAGCCTTATAGGTCCTGAATCATAATTCCTTATATGTCATGTATACCCAAGATAGTCCCAGAACTTTCAGTGCCCTTAAAAAGTGTCTTAAAAACAGCCACAGGTCTTATAGACCCGGAAACAGGCTTTTAAAACCATTCACGAACCTATAGACCCTCAAAATGATTTTCAAAGAACCCACGAGCCTTATAGCCGAACAAAAAAAATAATTCGTTAAAAATCCACAAAACTGAGAAACCCTGAAAAATATTCTTTCAAACTATCGACGAGTTTGACAAGCCTGGAAAAAATTCACAAAACTAAGAAACCCTGAAAAATGTTCGTTTAAAATATCCACGAGTTTGACAACCTGGAAAAACAATCTTTGAAAATTCCCAGAAAGGTTCTCATAGGTTCTCAAAAATTCTCCTACAAAAAATTTATCAGTTAGACAGGCACAGAAAAAACTACGAGCCTTATTGGCTCTTAAAACTATTCTTTCAAAATTTTCGAGTTTGACAAGCCTCGAAAAAAGATCTTTAAAAAATCCCAGAAAAAAATTATTTAAAAATCCGCGCTGGGGTCCCTTGAACATAATCCTTAAAAAATCCAAGGGTTTTATGGGTTCTCAAAAAATTTTCTTTAAAAACTTGACTCGAGTCTTATGGGCTCTCAAAAATATTGGTTCAAAAAATAAACAATTAAGATAGCCCCGAAAAAAACCTAAACAAAATTAACATACTGAGAGGACCTGAAAAATATTCCCTTTAAAAAAATAACAATCTTGAATTTTCTCCGGGTCTGATATGCCTTGGAAAATAAAGATTGAAAACATAACTCTGTTAATCGCTGAAAATTTTTTGCTAAAAAATCTTCGATTCTAATAGCCTTTAAAAAATGCATGACCTGAATCAAGAGTCGAATAGGACCTGAAAAACATTCCCTAAATAAAATTCACAAGTTTGATAGGCCCAGAAAAACATCTAGAGGCCAAGAGGCTCTGAGGAATATTCTTTTAAAAATCTACGATTCGAATAAGTCCGAATAAATATTTGTTGAATACTCCAAGAGTCTAATATGCCTATGATGGAAAACAGAACTCTGTTGATCACTTAAAAAATATTTCTCAACAAAAAAATTTCCGACTCTAATGGCCCTAAAAAGTTCACTAGTTTGATAGACCCGGAAAAATCCCTAAACAAATCAAGAGTCCGAAAAAAGCTGAAAAATATTCCTTCAAAAAATCAAAAAGTTTGATTGGCCATAAAAAAATTGTAAAAATATACGCCCTTCCACGAGTCGGAAAATCCCGAAAAAATATTTCTTGAAATGTCGGATATGACTTGAAAAATAATTCCTGAAAATAGAACTCTGTTGATCCCTGAAAAATACTTCCCACAAAATATCTAATAGCCCTCGAAAAATTTATGAGTTTGATAGAAATGTCGGATATGACTTGAAAAATAATTCCTGAAACTAGAACTCTGTTGATCCCTGAAAAATACTTCCTGAAAAAAATCTCTAATAACCCTCGAAAAATTCACGAGTTTAATAGACCCGGAAAAAATCTTAAAAAAAATTAAGAATCTGATTTTAGGGTCTGAAAAATATTCCATTAAGAATTCATGAGCCGCAGAAAAAAAAAATCTACCAAAAAATCAAGAATCCGAGAGAACCTGGAAAAAAATTACAACATCAAGGGTTAATGAAAAAATTATTATAACCTCAGCCATTTGGCTACAGAGGGTATTTGTCATTTTATAGATACTCAAAAAATTTCCTCAAAAGCATTGACCGAAAAAAAATCACAAAAAAATTCCAAAAAAAAAATCGAGAGAACCGGAAAATTATTCCTTCAAAAATTCATAAGCTTGATAGACCCAGAAAAATCTCAAAAAAAAATCAAGAGTCCAAAGGCCCTGAAAAATATTCCTTTAAAAAATCCCTAGTCGGATAATCCCGAAAAAATATTTCTTGAATAATTCAGTCTGATATGCTTTGAAAAACAACTCTTGAAAGCAGAACTCAGTTGATGCCTGAAAAATCCGTTTCAGGATATTATCTGTTTGTCTGTCAGGTGTTTACGCTAACTCTCTATGGGATTATCCGATTTGATCCAAACTTGGTACATCATATTATTGTCAAACTTATATAGAATTCGGAATGGACGACATTGGTCCACTCTTTCTAGTATCCACGCTATTTCAGATTCTCTTCAAATTTCACATATTCCAATATTTTTATTAACACAAGATCAGATGTGAAGTTGGGAAACATTAGCCTCCTTATTGTAGTACCTTCCCCACAAAGGGTCAAAATTTGGAATAATTATAACTGTTAAAAAAGGTGAAATATGCATGCGATTGTCTTCACATTTCACACATCTCAACATTTTTGTCAACACAAGATCTGGTGTAACTATTGCATATATCGATCCACTCCCCCACAAAGGGTCAACATTTGGAATAACCATAACTCTTTTAAAACTCGAAATAAACATCAAATTCTCTTCAAATTTCACACATACCAATATTTATAGTAACTCAATATCAGGTGTGAAGGTGGGATATATCGGCCTACTACTTCTGGTATCTCCCCCGCATAGGGGTCAAAATTTTGAATAACTCTAACTCTCATAAAGTTCGAAATAAGCATCCGATTCTGTTTAAATTTCGCAGATTCCAATATTTATATTGACACAAGATCTGGTGAGAAGATGGCATATATTGGTCCACTTCTACTGGTACCACCCCCACAAAGGATCACAATTTCCCACACGTATATCTCTCTCTCTCGGAAAGCATTGTTTCTCAAATAAATCTGACAGCTTTACCAAATTTTGTAGATCGCTACCAATATCATGATTTTATCCCAGTGAAGTGACCATTCACTTCGCTTTTTCAGCTTTTTTATATAACGACTTTGCTCAAAAGCAAACGCTATAAGTGTCGAACACCCCCAAGTGAATGAGAATTACACTCACTGCTTGCCTTTCTAAAAAAGACATCATAACAAAATATTGCAAAAGGCCACCACACATTTTCATGTTTTTAATTTAATATCTAACTCTGTCTCTCTCTCTTTCTCTCTTACTCTCTTGTTCTCTCTCCCCCTCCCAGCGGACAACACTCCTCTTGGCCAGTCTGCTCGTGCTAACCACCAGCATACGGGCCGAAGAAGAAAAGCAATCCGCCGGAGCTGAAGCTGAACAAAAACAGGTCGATGCAAAGGAGGCCCAAGATACGCCCAAACCAAAACGTGGCCTCCATCATCATGAAACCTATCATCATCATGTTCATCATTATCCCGTACATAAGGAAAAGACTTTAACAATTATCAAGAAAATCCCCTATCCCGTCAAGGTGGAAAAGGAGGTGCATGTACCCGTCGAAAAGGTGGTACATGTCCCATATGAGGTGAAAGTGCCCAAACCCTATCCGGTGATAAAGCACGTACCCTATGAGGTAAAGGAAATTGTTAAAGTACCCCATGAAGTGCCAGCTCCATATCCTGTGGAAAAGAAAGTCCCTGTACCAGTACATGTGCCCTATGATCGTCCAGTCCCAGTTAAGGTTTACGTACCAGCACCCTACCCCGTCGAGAAAAAGGTCCATGTTCCTGTCAAGGTTCATGTTCCCGCACCATATCCAGTTGAAAAGAACGTACCCTATCCCGTCAAAGTCCATGTACCAGTGGAGAAACCATATCCCGTGGAAAAGGTTGTCCACTATCCCGTCAAGGTCCCCGTGGAGAAACCCGTACCATATAAGGTTGAAAAACCGGTACCCTATGAAGTTGAGAAGCCAGTGCCTGTCCATGTCATCAAGAAGGTACCAGTTGCCGTACATGTACCCTATGACAGACCCGTGCCAGTACATGTTGAAAAACCCGTACCCTATGAGGTCAAGGAACATGTACCCCAACCCTACCCCGTTGTCAAGGAAGTCCCAGTGAAGGTGGAAAAAGATGTGCCCTATCCCGTCCATGTACCCTACGAAAAGCCTGTTCCTGTCCATCTGGAGAAACACATTCCCGAATACCATGAGAAACACATCTCCTACAAAGAACCCGAATTCCATTACAAGAAAATCGAACATCACGAACCCGAACACAAAATCGAAGAGGAGAAGGAAGAGGGCCACAAGGAAGTCGAGGAGATCAAGGAAATCCATGAAGAACCCGAGGTGGATCATGAGAAATATAGTCATCATGATTATAGTCATCATCAATATTATGGACATCATCAATAAGACAATTGAGTACTAATGAGCAATTTTTTTCTCTCTCTCTTTTTTTTCTCTCTTTTCAAACAGCATCACTAAACGAAACAATCTGAAACGATCTCACTAAAAACGAACCGAACCGAAAACACCAAAACGAAAGTCGATTGGCCTCTTGGTAAGGTGTGGTGAGAGAGAGAAAGAGAGATATGGCTTCAGAGTGATTTGAATGGTTGGTGGCTGCTACTATGAGATGAGAACCAAGAGATAGAGAGAAATTAAAATTAAAACTCCATTTTTAATGATGAGACTGGATTATCCACTTAAGGCTTATGCTAAGAGAAATACACAAAACTGACCGCCTCCCCTCCCCAAACATGGACTCGTGATAATGGCCTCAAAGAGAACACAACTGATCAATAGCACTTAAGGTTTAATTTAAGAGATTAAGATGTAGCCATTGGCTAAACTTGACTCTTCAATGGGAAAATAACCCCTTGAGACCCCACAGGCCCATCTCCCCCAAAAAAACTAACCTTCCATTACCACCTAAGTGTAGCTAACATTATTTAGAAAGATTTTTTTTAATACCTAAGCCATTTTTGTTTGTACAGTACTTTGTTAAGAGTAATTTTAAGGCAATGTCAACTTGTATTTTTATAAGGCTAGTAATTTATATATCTAATATTTTTGGCACCAGTTTTCATGGTGTAACATCGACAAGACTCTATGGATAATTTTAAAAGACTTACTGTTCCTCCCGTAAACAAAGAAACTAACCTCCTTGTGCCGTCCAGCCAACTTAGTGTGTAGAAAGATATTTTTAAGAATGTGTATGTTTTTTCAATATTCACAATATTGAGACGTCAATAGTATTCTAATCATATTTAGTGAACGTACTTTTTTATAGCCAAATTTATTTTTAAGAAAATGAAAAAAATAAATGATAAAAAAAGGAAAAATATTTTTTTTCTGAAAATTAAAAGAAAATTTGTTTTGAATTTTTTGAAATCTTTGGGGCGTAAAAATAACTAAAAGAACGGATATCGAAGAAAAAAATATAAAAAATAAAATATAAAAAAAATAAATAAATATAAAAGAGATAAATAAAAAAATAAATAAAAAATAAAAAAAATAAATAAAAAATATAAAAAAATAAAAAATTTTATTGAAACTTAAAAAAAAATGTTGAAATTATTTTAAAAATTTGAAAAAAAAATACAAATCAAAAAACAGCAAGTTCGGCCGGGTCGGGAACTTCAACTCCACCATTTGGAACGAATTTGGAAATTTCAAAAAAAAAAAATAAATAAATAAATAAAACTAAAATAAATAAATAAAAAATACGGAATATAGAGGGTTACCGTAAATCTGGGGTCCATACGAGAACGTGGACTTGGATAGGTAATTTTCTGTCACAGGCTGTATTAACCATTACGAGCTTCAAATGCCAAATTTGAAACAATTCCGATGAATAATGAAGCTACAATCATAAAAATGTCGAATAGAGGGAGGTACTTTTATATGGAGGCTATACGAGAACTTGGACCTGCACAGACAATTTTCTTTCTGTATTATCTATTACAAACTTTAAATACGAAATTTACAACAATTCCGGTGAATAATGTCGCTAAAATCATCGAAATACCGAATATCGGGAGGTGCCATTATATGGGACCTGCACAGACAATTTTCTGTCATAGGCTGTAGTATCCATTTAGAACTTCAAATACCAAATTTAAAACAATTCCGGTGGGTATTATACCTAAAATCATCAAATTACCGAACATAGGGAGGTACCGTTATATGGGGGCTATACGAAGACGGGGACCTGCACAGACAATTTTCTGTCACAGGCTGTAGCATCCATTACGAACTTCAAATGCCAAATTTGAAACAATTTCGGTGAATAATGTCGCTAAAATCATCAAAATGCCGAGTATCGAGAGGTACCGTTATATGGGAGGCTATACGAAGACGTGGACCTGCATAGACAATTTTTTGTCTCAGGCTGTAGTATCTATTTCGAACTTCAAATACCAAATTTGAAACAATTCCGGTTAATAATGTCGCTAAAATCATCGAAATACTGAAAATCGGAAGGTACCGTCATATGAGGCTACATGAAGAAGTGGACTTGCACAGATAATTTTCTGTCACAGGCTGTAGTATCCATTACGAACTTCAAATACCAAATTTGAAACAATTCCGGTAAATAATGTCGCTAAAATCGTCAAAATACCGAACATAGGGAGGTACTGATATATGGGACCTATACGAAGACGTGGGCCTGCACAGACAATTTTCTGTCATAGACTGTAGTATCCATTTAGAACTTCAAATGCCAAATTTGAAACAATTCCGGTAAATAATGTCGATAAAATCATCAAAATACCGAATATCGGGAGGTACTGTTATATGGGGGCTATACGAAGACGAGGACCTGCATAGACAATTTTTTGTCTCAGGCTGTAGTATCTATTTCGAACTTCAAATACCAAATTTGAAACAATTCCGGTGAATAATGTCGCTAAAATCATCGAAATACTGAAAATCGGGAGGTACCGTCATATGGGGGCTATACGAAGATGTGGACTTGCACAGACAATTTTCTGTCACAGTCTGTAGTACCTATTAGGAACTTCAAAATCGAAATTTCAAACAATTTCGGTGGGTATTGTACCTAAAATCATCGAAATACCGAATATCGGGAGGTACCGTTATATAGGGGCTATACCAAGACGGAGACCTGCACAAACAATTTTCTGTCATAGGCTGTAGTATCCATTTTGAACTTCAAATACCAAATTTGAAACAATTCCGGTAAATAATGTCGCTAAAATCATCAAAATACCGAATATCGGGAGCTATGGTTATATGGGGGTTGTACTAAGACGTGGACCTGTACAGAAAATTTTCGGTCATGGGCTGTAGTATCCATTTCGAACTTCAAATACCAAATTTGAAACAATTCCGGTAAATGATGTGGCTAAAATCATCAAAATACCGAATATCGGGAGGTACCGTTATATGGGGGCTATATGTAAACGTGGACCTACATGGCCCATTTACGAACTTAACCTGCCGACTGGAAAAATAAACATGTGTGCAAAATTTCAGCTTTCTATCTCAATTCGTTCGAAAGATAGACAGACAGACGGTCATGGCTAAATCGTCTTAGAATTTTACACTGAATGTTACAAACGGAATGACAAAGTTAATATACCCTTCATAGAATGATGGAGGGTATAAAAAGTAATAATAACAAGTAAAAAAGTATCGGTCGGTTTTGCCGACAGATGTATACCCTCTGCCAATGTTAGATTATTTTAAAATATTTTGACTTCTGCTACGAATTTTCAAACTCTTGACCCTCTATGGACTGGATTTTGAAAGAACAGGTCAATATTGTACATTTCGTATCGGACCTAAATAAATATGATATAAATATTATTATATATAAGAAAATCGAACATTTATATCAAATTTATGGGAAATCATAAATTCCATATTCATCTCAGGATTCTGGCTGAGAAAAATATATTTAGATATAGCAAGTTTTAAAGAATCGCTGAGTTGTTTCGCAATTTATGACAGAAAAAATTATTGAAATTGTGTCCATTTGTGGGTGAAGGGGTTCGCAGATATATAGCATCTTGACAACAGATCTTGTGTTAGCAAAAATATTTACATGTGTGAAATTTGAAGAGAGCTGGATGCTTATTTCGCTTTCTTTGAGCGTGTTGTTTCTCAAAATCTTGAACCCTATGTGGGGAGGTACCAGAAGAAATGGTCCGATCTCGACCATCTTTATAATACATCTTGTGCCGATGGAAATATTGAGATGTTCCAAGACTTGAATGGAATCCGATGTTAATTTCGCTTTTTATGAGCTTCATGGATATTCAAAATTTAGAGCCTTTGTGGTGGAGGTACCAGAAGGAGAGGACCGATACCCCAGCCCATCTTAACAGCAGATCTTGTGTTAATAGAAATAATGGGATGTGTGGAATATGAAGAGAACTGGATGCTTATTGCGGATTTTATATAACGACTATAAAATTATTCAAATTTTTGATTCTTCGTGGGGGAGGTAACAGAAGAAATGGTCCGATCCCTACGATTTTTATAACAGATCTTGTGTTAATGGAAATATTGAGATGTACCACGTCGGAATAGAATCAGATGTTAATTTCGCGTTTTATGAGCTAATTTTTCAAAATATTATGATGTACGTAATTTGAAGACAATCGAATGCTTATTTCGGATTTTATGACCGTAACTTTGACCCTTCGTGGTGAAGATACCAGAAAAATGGTCCGATATCTACCATCTTTATAACAGATCTTGTGTTGATGAAAATATTGAGATGTACCAAGTTTGAATGTAATCAATTTCGCGTTTTATGAGCTTAAGGATATTCAAAATTTTGTGTGGGAGATACCGGAAGAAGTGGACCACTATCTACAACAGATTGTACTTATAGAAATATTGCACGAAGATCCTGGTAAAAAGGTACGTAAAAAAGCAACCCCTGGTTATATTTGAAAAAAAAAATTGTAATTCCTGGATTATCAATATTTTTATTTAACAATCCACTATTTTTGCACATAAAAACCTTGAAAAAGTTTCAAAAACTCGAAAATGAAAATTGGAATGAAACCGTCCTATTGGAATGAAACCCTCCCAAAAAAAACATTTTTTAAAATAATTTTTAAAGGACTATAGACGTGAATTTTTTAAAGAATTTTTAAAGGACTATAGACGTGGATTTTTTAAAGAATTTTTAAAGGACTATAGACGTGGATTTTTTAAAGAATTTTTAAAGGACTATAGACGTGGATTTTTTAAAGAATTTTTAAAGGACTATAGACGTGGATTTTTTAAAGAATTTTTAAAGGACTATAGACGTGGATTTTTTAAAGAATTTTTAAAGGACTATAGACGTGGATTTTTTAAAGAATTTTTAAAGGACTATAGACGTGGATTTTTTAAAGAATTTTTAAAGGACTATAGACGTGGATTTTTTAAAGAATTTTTAAAGGCTATTTAAAGGACTTTAAACGTGGA